TTGTTGTTTTGCTCACTTTTCCAGAGGTTTTAGTAATGGTCAGTTTGTAATATGGCTTTTGGGCCTGTGGCAAGGAGCACATCGTGGGGGAAATGTGTCGGAGAGGAAAACACTCATTTTATGGTGGCTAGGAAGAGAAAGAAAAAGAGGAGGGGCCATGATCCTGGTATCCCCTCCAAGGGCATCTTCCCAGTGACCCAACTTCCTTGCATTAGGCCTCACCTTCTATAGGGTCCACCATCTCCTAATTCCACCCCAGGCTGGAGACCAAACCTTCAACACGTGGATCTTTGGGGGATATTTAAGGTCCAAACTATAGTAATAGCTTTCTGTGGAGGCAGAATTGTCATGGGAAAGGAACAGGGTAGGTGACTGATGCTTTTCCTTGGGCAGAGTTGTCCCATGGTGGAGGGAGTCTCTTCAACATTAAAAAGGTAATGTGCTGTCACGATGGCTATAAGACCAGGGTGAAAGTGCATTGGAGGAGGCAATGTCAAAGCAAGATGGTGAGACATGGAAAGAAAGACAAGAAAGATGTTCTCTCTCTGTTCTGAGGCTCAGGCCCCAGCTCTTGGAACCTGGCCTATATCCAGAAGGTATACAGGGTCAAGGGCTTTGTTGAAGGATTGACTATTCCTAACCGCAAAGAAAAGAAAGACACAAAAATTGTTTCCTTAATAAATATACTTGTCTTCCCTATCTTACAAAGGCCCTCTCCACCATGAGGCAGGGTATGGATCCACCTCCACCTTCTGTGTTGGGTGAGGAAAGCTCATGCCCTATGGGGAGAATGAAGTTCCTAACTCTGAACCATTTGTTCATATCACACCTTCACAAGGGCAGCCTCAGGCACTGGAGGGACCAGAGTTGGGATGCAGATGGGCTTAAGTAGAAACTAGACTTGAACTTGCTCACTCATTTGGAGACCTTAGGCAGCTGAATCTCTCTGACCTTCCATTTTCTTATCTGTGGAGTGAGGATAGTCACCCTCACCCCCTAACAGGATGGTGGTGAAGTTCAGTTACATAAAAAGCATAGATCTTCTCTGTTGGGGAAATTCAATCAAATGGGGAAACAGAATATACAGATCTCATGATGCCACCAAGGTTAATGTAAGCGGGGAACTGCACAACGTAGTTGTGTAATGGGGGCAGAGAGCTGGGGCAGGAGAGGGGAAGTATTTTTTTGCAGAATCACGGAAGAGTGGAGTTAGTGGGGTGACTGGAGGGTGGAGGTCTGTGGGCAGAGGATCCACCTGGGCAGACAGATATCTGTGTGCAGCATGTGGTTTATAGGAGCACAGATCCTGAGAATATGGGAAAGTCCAGCTTCCCTCTCACACTGGACTCCATGGGTAACCAGAATGCCTGACGTGCTCTTCTTTCTTACCCTCTGCCCCTGTGCTCTGGCCAGTCCCTCAGCCTAGAACAACTTTCTTCTTTTGTTTCCTTGACTAAATCACACTGTCTGCTAGGTCTTGAATTAAGTGGTTGCTTTCCTCAGTAAAGCCTCTTTCTCCTGAGTCCTTCCAGTCTTTAAAAGTTTGCTTTAATTGTGGTAAAATACATACCTATAAGATATACCATCACAACCATTTGGGAGTGTACAGTGTTATGCACCCAATCTCCAGAACTCTTCATCTTGTGAAACAAGCTCTGTACCACGGAACAGCTTCCTGTTCTCCCTCTCCCCCGCCCTTGGCAACCACCACTTTACTTCCGTCTCTGACTACTCTGGGGGCTTCGGGTCAGTGTTCGTCTTTTTGTGACTGTCTTGTTTCACTTGGCCTAATGGCCTCTGGATTCATCCATGTTGTATGTTCTTCGGTTCTTGTTACAGGGTGCTCTGACCAGTCCTTTCACATCCTTCCTACCTTACAGTTGTGTAGATATTGAACCTCTGGGTCTGCTCTGCTCTCCACTGAACCTCCCACCTCTAGTTCAGCATGGCCAGACTTTCCCCTCCTGGGCAGTGAACTAGTAAGGCCCAGGTATGGGCAGAGCACATACCAATGTACTCTGGAGGAACCTCTGAACAGGAACTGGGGACAGGGGAGAAGAGGTTTTCTTTTTGAAGGGTAGGTGATAAGCTTCTGAGGACTCCAAATTAATACAGCTTTTGGAAGCCCCGCCTGGTATCAGCTCCATCGTACTTCCTCATGAACCAATGCATGAGTTCCCCGCCCTGGTGACAGCCCCAGCTGGTCTTTTCCAGTCTACTCCCCAGAAGTCTCCTCTATAAGACTTTCCCGTATTACTACAAACGTGGTACTTAAAACTAGAAATTTATTTTGTCATAATCATGGAATCCAGAGGTCCAAAATCAGTGTGTCAGTAGGACCATGCTCCCTCTGGAGGTGATGGGAGCAGATCCTTCCATGCCTCTTCCAGCTTCCGGTGGCTTCCAGTGGTCCTTGGCTCATGTCTCTGTCACTCCTCCTCCTTTGCCTCCTTCTTCACATGGCCACCTCCTCTGGGTGAGTGTCTTCCCCTCTTCTTTCTCTCATAAGGTCACTCATCATTGGATATAAGGTCTACTTCAGTCATCTCAGATGATCTCACCTGGAAATGCTTAACCTCATATTTCCAAAGACCTTCTTGCCAAATAAGATCACATTCACAGGTCGCAGGAATGGGACTTGGACATATCTTTGTGGCAGCCACAATTCAACTCTACCCTCCCAGAACCCTGTCTCTCGGCTGATCTGGCTCGGTCACCATCTCTTTGACCAAAACATCATGCTTTTTGTCATCATCTATGTGAGTCATTGTCACACCTCTGTCTCCCTGGCAGCCACCCCCCCCCTTTTTTCTTTGAACATTGAGATTCCACAGGTGCCCCCTGCCTTTTCTCTAGATTCTACTGACTTCTCTAGGAGAGAGGAACTTCCTTTTTCCTGGAATCCTACCTGCCTGCCTGCAGCTCACGGAGTGGTACACTGTTCCTCTGTGGCAGACACCTTTCCACGCAGGTTGGGTTATCTTGTCATTGACTCCATGTGGAGGCTGGAGTCTGGAGCTAATGTTCTGCCTCTTCCCTACCCACAGTACCAAGACGTTAGTAGAAACTCTGGAAAGATTTGTGAATGACAATACTTAGAAAATGGGTTTAGTCTTATCAACATAAAGGAAATAGCAATCCTGCAGTCGTAGCTCTATTGTAAGAACAAGTACATATGTGTGGATAGAGGGAGGGAATTAATTTTTTTTAAATCAGGGATTGATTAGGGGTTAACTCCATTGAGCTTATGTAATAAACGGGGTTTAAATATCAATAGAACAACCCCAGGGACATACGGGGGTCCAGAATCAAATTATAGGCTGGCTGTGTTGACTGGCAGGTCCTAGTCAAGGTCCTCTCACCCCTCTTTGGGCCCCACCACATCTCATCTGACATTTGGGGTAGTTTACGTGTCACAAAAATGACCTGGTCTTTGATGGTTTGAGTTTCCAATAAAAATACTGGGGCTTTTCCACAGGGTGGATCTCTCTGGGTATCATTTCCTATTCCTTCCTCTCTGTCTCATTGCTGCCTACTGGCACCCCTTCCCCAAATCTCATGACCCCCCACTCCCCAATATCTCTAGCCTCCCTCAGTTCTCTAAGGCTCAGACTCCAGCCTGATTGGCCTTGCAGTTTGAGGATCTGTCATTATCTGACTGCCTTGGTCTGGCCACGGTCCACACTCCCATGCCCAGTGTGGACTGACGTTCATCAGATCAGCAGCAGGTGAGAGCGAGGGAGGAGCAGAGATTCCCCTGTGAGGGTCCGAGGGAGGCCACAAGAGGCATGTCTACTCCTGTGTGGAGATTCTGTATCACTAGTGTTGACATTTTATTTTTCAGATTGATCGTGTCCTGTGAAGATGTTTCCAGAACAACAGAAAGAGGTATGTTGTCATAAATCTGAATATACATCACCTGTGTGATTTGACGCACTGTAGGTTAGTGCTTCATTCATTAACAATAAACCTGTGGCTTCTCAGAAGAGGGCCGATGGAAGAATTGATGACCCACCCTCCTGTACGCTCCCCACTCCCCACCATAGGAGCATCTGTGACCTTCATATTTTGGTTCCAGTGACAAAGCTGCAGAGGATTTCTGCTGCCCTCTGCTTGTCTTTTGACTCAGAACTGTCTCCCTCTGGTCTGCCTTCTTGGTTTTCTACTCTGTTGACTCATCCCTGAATGGCGCCCACCTTTGGGAAACAACTGGGGGACTCTGCCATTAGTTTCAGTTTTGCTCTGCCTGTTACCTCTTGGACCTTGGTCCTCCCCCTTTCCCCCCAGAGCTCAGGCAAGGCTGTCCTTTCCAGAATGTAACTCCTGAGCTTTCATCTAGGTGTCAAGCTGGCACTTGACCTCTTGGTATCTATAGGAAATTGGCTCTAGGACCCATCATGAATATCAACAACTGAGGATTCTCAGGTCCCTTGGATAAAATGGCATTGTTATAGTTAAAGCTTTGTCCTGGGGTTTCATAAACTGACTTCCAGACCACTCACATATAATCAAATCAAGCCTTTATTGAAGCACACTAGTGGTGACTGACTAGAACATAAAACTGTTCCCCTGATCAGTCCCGAACAATTGCAAGGGGCCTCCTTATAAGCCTGAAAACCGCAAAAGGGATATTTGGGGGTCTAGCCAATGCAAGCAAGCCAGGTTACAGAAGCGGGAGAGTGCAGTCAAGCAGCGGGAAGCCTAACCAATCACAGTTAGCCCAGTCACCCCAGTTACCCTAGTTACAGAAACAATGCCCCATTAGGTAGTTCTGTGTTCTTAAAGGTTTCTATAGCAAAAGGAAAAGAACTTCTTGCCCCAGTCAAGACCCTTCTCCTTGGCATAATTGTTTTACAGAATGGAGTCACAAAACAAAATAGAGTCACATTTGCTTTTACTGTCACAGCTTAGTATTTGCACATAACCCATATACATCCTCCCATGTTTTAATCATCTCTACTTATAATGCCAAATGCAATGTAAGTGCTAAGTAAGTAGTTGTTACACTGTATGGTTTAGAGACAGATGATCAGAGAAAAAAGTCTGGACGTGTTTAATAGAGATGTGGAATTTTCTTATTCCAATATTTCTGATCCATACTTGATCCCACAGATATGGAAAGTGACTGAGTCCCATTGAGAGCCAACTGTACCTTTAATCTCCATTTCTTCTGGAGGTCAGAACAGATATAGCATGGCCCAAAGTACGTGTGGTAATCATGTTGTTAGACTGTCCAGTGGCCAAATCCTGAGGCAAACAAAGTCACTTGGGCAGGACTCCCCAGGTCTAGAGACTACTGTCTCCCAGTTGCCAGGGAGTCCAGACCTCCTTGGATAGGGTGAGTTCTTTGTAACACATCTGCACAGGCCTCCCAATACCAGGCTGGCTGTCCAGAGGAGTGGGCTTGGGGCCGGGGATATAGCTCAGTT